TGAATTGCTCTTACTTCTTGAAATACCTTTTCTGTATTAGTTATTTTCAAACGTATTCATTTATGTTTCGGTTGTAAGAGAACTCATCTATGTACTTATGTTCTTTCATACATTAATTTCAAAATACTTTGGTTTAAGAACAATTTGTTGGGATTTTTAGATCTCGCAAAAACCTCGAAAAACCACCAAACGTAGCAAATAGATTCACACAAGATTTAACGTGGAAAACCCTTAACAGGAAAAACCACGGGATTAAAAACCAATTCACTATCACCTACAAATTACAATTTTTTGTACAGACAAAGACTGCCAAACCCTCTCTCTCATTCTCTCTACTATTAGTTTTTTTCCTCCAACAATCCCTAGCGTAACTTTCTAATTAGAATATGATTCAAACTTCTAATCATGATGAAACTCAGTTTCCTAATCATGATAGATCTCTAACCCTATCTAATTCTCATGAAGTTATATAAAGAATCAAATACACAATCCTAACATAATTAACATACAAACTTTTATGTATGGAAGCTCTTTTTCTCTTGCTTTTTGTAATTTAAAAGGGGAGAAAGAAACACATGGAATTCAAATAGAAAAGAAAATCAAGTTCAAGTTCTATACCGCATCATACACATTGTAAAAATTGTAGAAACATCTTCAAAGTTTAAGTTCTATACCGCATCATACACATTGTAAAAATTGTAGAAACATCTTCAAAGTCTTCTTCAATACATTAAACATATAATAAGAATTGAAACATGTATTTTCAAAGTCTTCTTCAATTGCATTAAACATCTAAAAGTTATAATAATAATTGAAACATGTATTTTATATTATACTGTTTCTTGGAAATTGAGCATCCAAGAAATAGAACATTGACTTTGTGAAACACATTTATATTTTTCTTTATCTATTGTTTCAACGCAGGTACAACTAAAATTTAGATCTTCTCTGTAATGAATTAAAGTGAACATTACTATATATAAACTTGAAATTATGATGAAATTTAAACGAACGCTTCCTTTTTTTTAAGGAAAATAAGGCAGTAAGCCCTATCATGAATCTATTGAAAACTGTATTGTAAAACTTACAAGAGTAGTTATCTGCCGATGATTTAGGCACCAGCTCCGAGATGGAGAAAAAACTAAATCATGGGAAGAAAACTACTTGCTAAAAACATAAACCAAAACAAGCAAAATAAGACAGAAGGAGAAAAATGAGAAGAAAGGTGGCCTGGACTAAACAAAAGGCCATCTATTACAGAAGACTGAGGCACGCCGATCATGCGAACCCTTTGTTGTCTTCACTCGATTCTAGAATAGCTGGCAGCCCAGAGAAGCGAATGATTTGCTTCATCTTGATCGACTTCTTTGAAGAGGAGACACATGACCAGAAAATTAGAAAATTTATAGCTTTGAAGATGATTTGCTGAGGAGTAAGAATCTGATTAGAAAAAATACGATCATTTCTTGCTTTCCAGGTGACCCAGCAAATAGTCGGGAAGCTAATGCCCCAAAGGAGACAGATTGATAGCTAGATAGACTTGTCAGAGCAAATGACAAGACACTGATTGATGCTTGGAGGGAGAGATCCTATGCCAATCTTAGGTAGAACAGAAGTCCAAATAAGTTGAGCATGGGAGCACTGCATGAATAAATGGTTATGGGTTTCCTCTTCGTTGCAGAATGAGCATGAGGAGTCAGCAAGCCAACCTTGGGTTGCTAGCATTGTTTTCGTCAAAAGTTGCCTTCATCATTGATTTCATTAAAACTTCAAACGTTACAAATGAATTCAAACAACGAAAATAAAAATTACAACTTTCTTGAAAATAAATACAAGATCCGTTTATCGTCTCTTGCTTGCGTGGGTCTTTAGCCTGTGACGGGGACGTCGATATCCGTGGACTACCTGGCAATCAGATCTGATCCAGAAAAATCGGGCAGAGCTTCGTCGATCCGCGAGGAGATCTAGAAACTTGAAGCGTCTATCTCGGATAAAGCGAGATATTTGCTCTTCTTAGGATTACCGACGAGGGGTAATGCTAAGGAACGGATACGGGTGATGTAGATCTGATGAAGAACTCTCTCTTGTGTTGAAGTGCTCGATCACTCTTCACTCCAGCAGGGCTTCGCCAATTCTCCAAAAATCCAGATCCCCAAAAGTGAGGCCTAAGGCTTCTATTTATAGGCGACACCCCTGGGGTGTCCTAAAAAATCTAGGACGCCCCTGGGGTGTCCCCAATGCAACTTCGACCACGTTAGACGCCATTGGAGCGTCGCGGTGAGTAAGTGCAACGGCGGCGAGGGGATCTTGGATCTTCGATCCTGAGGGCCCGCGAGCACTCTTGGAAGATGAAATCTTCCTGTGCCTGTTTGGAGAGGCGGATCTGGAGGAGGAGGAAGAGAGGTACTCTTCAAACTTTTGTTGATCGAACTCGTATTCGATCTCTTCGTTCACCCGGATCTTGAATGCCGGTTGCGTCACGACGGCCTCGGCAGCGAGGCCGTTGGCTCCCACTGTGGTCGCCAGTTTATTTTTGTCAAAAGTTGCCTTCATCATTGATTTCATTAAAACTTCAAACGTTACAAATGAATTCAAATAACGAAAATAAAAATTACAACTTTCTTGAAAATAAATACAAGATCCGTTTATCGTCTCTTGCTTGCGTGGGTCTTTAGCCTGTGACGGGGACGTCGATATCCGTGGACTACCTGGCAATCAGATCTGATCCAGAAAAATCGGGCAGAGCTTCGTCGATCCGCGAGGAGATCTAGAAACTTGAAGCGCCTATCTTGGATAAAGCGAGATATTTGCTCTTCTTAGGATTACCGACGAGGGGTAATGCTAAGGAACGGATGCGGGTGATGTAGATCTGATGAAGAGCTCTCTTGTGTTGAAGTGCTCGATCACTCTTCACTCCAGCAGGGCTTCGCCAATTCTCCAAAAATCCAGATCCTGAAAAAGTGAGGCCTAAGACTTCTATTTATAGGCAACATCCCTGGGGCGTCCCCAAAAATCTAGGACACCCCTGAGGCGTCCCCAAAAATCTAGGACACCCCTGGGGCGTCCCCAAAAATCTAGGACACCCCTGGGGCGTCCCAAAAATCTAGGACACCCCTGGGGCGTCCCCAAAAATCTAGGATACCCCTGGGGCGTCCCCAAAAATGTAGGACACCCCGCTGTAAATTCTTCGTCCGAACTCGGATTTTAGTGATTCGAATTGCGTTGGAATTCTGACGAAGAGTTCTATTAGCCCCGATGGTTGGATTATCTGTAGAACGAACGAGACACGAAAGACGTTGTTCTTTTTGTAAACATCGCGGGACTCTCGATTAGCCTGTGCCTTCGTTATTCCAAAATTCTGTCAGTTCACGTAGTTTGTCGATTCACTTCAAACGTTTACCGACGTCAATTGAACTCCTGTGAACCAGATGGTGACGTTCATTGTCGTTCCTTAACACTGAGCTATTCGTGGAGACCTATAGGTAATTTTTGATGCCTACAGATACCCCCTCCAAAGCGTTCCAGACTCGTTTCTTTTATAGAAGAGGCTGGAATACTTTGGATGTGATTGGTCTAGCCTTCAGTCGGCGTAAGGACCTGTAGTTAGCTTCAACTCTTGGCTCCTTCGATTTTCGGTCTATTCGATGCTTTGACGAATAACCGAAGTTCTTCCGGTGCTGCGTTTATCGCTTGGCCGTCGTCGGAGTCTCAAGTCTACAGCTGATGAATTGAGTTTGGCTCGTGTCATTGAGTTGACTTTGAACTACCTTCGTCACGTTGTGTTGACGTATGTTGACTTTTTGCCGCAACGCGTTGACTGGCGTTGACTTAGGGTTACGCGTTGACCGGCGTTGACCCTAGGGTTTCAAACGTCATACATTGACTTTTTGGTCGCAACGCGTTGACTGGCGTTGACCTAGGGTTACACGTTGACCGGCGTTGACCCTAGGGTTCCGAATCATATACGTTGACTTTTTTTGGTTGCAACGCGTTGACTGGCGTTGACCTAGGGTTACGCGTTGACCGGCGTTGACCCTAGGGTTCCGAATCAACCTGAGGAGAACCAGTTTATATTCGTGTACTCCTGGGAGTTTCGGGAATTAGTTTAGCCTCGTGTACCCGTCGGACGTTGACGGGTTATCCTTAAGAATATTATACATAATATTTTCCAGGAACTTCCCGTCAATTGTGAGAAATAGTTTAAACTCGTATTCTCATTGGAGTATAAATACGGGCGTCGAATACATCGGAAAAAAAAAAACACCTAGAAGTGGTTCAAAATGCGTATGAATCATTCCTGGATCCCTCTATACGTGCGAACACACATTTCACGGCTTACATGCGTGCGAATCATCAAAAAAAATACTTGTAATTTGGGTTGATTCAATCTGATTTGGTTCAGATTCGGTCTGGGTTGGTTCAGACCAGTCTGGGTTCAGACCGATCCGGTTCAGACCGGTCCGGTTCAGCCCTCTTTAAAAGTCCTCTTCAAAACCGATTTTCCTCTTTTTTTTTCTCTCTCTTCTTGGCTTCGGTTCCAGCAGCAGGTTCCGCCTCCCCCCCTTGCTGTTTTTTTTTGTGTTCTTCCTCTCTAAAACTCCATCTTCTTCAAGAGTTCTAAGGCTTTTAAACCCATCTCTCTAAGTCTTCTTCCCCAAAACCCATTAGCTTTGATAAGATAAAGCCTCAAAAGGGAACCCCTAACCTTGGCCGAAATTTTCATCTCCCCACAAGCTAGGGTTTGGGATTTTCTTCTTCTTCAAGCTTCAGAACTTGGGTAAGTCCCTTTTCTTTGATTTTAGTTAGTTCCTCATGCTTTGGTTCAAAGATTGAAAACCCTAGTTCAATGATTTGGGGGGAAATCCAAAATTTGTATTAGGTTTGATTGTTGGCCGGATTTGGGTGTAGAATTTGGGGAAATTTGAGGGGGTATTTGTGCAAATATGAGGCTAAAACTTGAGGGGGTTATCGCTGAAATTTTGGGGGTGTTTTGTACAAATATGAAACTGAAATTTGAAGGGCTTTTATGCAAAAATGAGGGCTACCATTTGAAGGGTATATGTGCAAAAGAGGGCTACCATTTGAGGGGGTTATTTGCAAAAGAGGGCTACCATTTGAGGGGGTTATTTGCAAAAGAGCAATCCACAAAGTATAGGGGGGCTTATTTGCAAAAGGGCTGGAATTTTGAGGCTTGGATGTTTGACACAATTGGCCACAACTTTGAGGTGTGCTTCATGTAAAGAGATCACAAATTGTTGAGGGTTTACTTGCAAAATTGCCCATAAACGTTTTAGAGGGACTTATTTGCAAAAAGGGTAGAAAATCCAAGGCTGAAAACCAAGAAGTTTAGACCACAAAACTACGATCAAAGTTTTGTGAAAACCAAACCGAAATTTGTGGAGGGTTTTTTTTTTGCAAAATTGGCTAGATTTTACAAAAGGGTTTATTTGCAAGATTAACCAAAATTGTAGGGTACTGGGGGTGCTATGTGATCAGGTATGATGACCATGACCCAACTCGACCGTGTCCTTGACCCGAATTTAGCCTTGAACACGAAGGGTATTCTGGGTATTTCATCAAAATTTATCGCGAAAATGACAATTATTGTTTCGCATGCACGAAATTTGTAGGTTTAATTAGACTTCAATTATAAAATCCTGTTTATACATAGGATTTTAATTAAAGTTCTTAATTTCCCTTTTAAATTTCGCGTATTCATACTTTAGATTGTATCTGACTTGCTGCTTTTCATTGCAGGTTTCCGATGCCTCCACGCCGATCTCGACTTCCTAGGAGTCGATCTCATTCGCAGCCTAGCGAGGGAGAAGTTCCCGCAGCATCCTCCCCTCCAGCAGCTTCCTTTATTGGGGGTGGGAAATTTTTTATTATTATTTTTTGTATCCCCGATTGATCCCTTCGCGGGTCATGAAGGAAGAACCGACACCCTCCTTCGCGGGGGTCGAGGTTTCAGACTTGGTGGTTCTGTCATACCCTCGTTTGGCCCCTTCGCAGGTCATTCGGGAAGGGCCGACACCCTCCTTCGCGGGGGTCTAGGTTTCGGACTTGGTGGTTTTGTCATACCCTCGTTTGGCCCCTTCGCGGGTCATTCGGGAAGGGCCGACACCCTCCTTCGCGGGGGTCGAGGTTTCGGACTTGGTGGTTTTGTCATACCCTCGTTTGGCCCCTTCGCGGGTCATTCAGGAAGGGCCGACACCCTCCTTCGCGGGGGTCGAGGTTTCGGACTTGGTGGTTCTGTCATACCCTCGTTTGGCCCCTTCGCGGGTCATTCGGGAAGGGCCGACACCCTCCTTTGCGGGGGTCGAGGTTTCGGACTTGCCTTGCTTGGCTAATTCAAGTCTTCTGGTATATTGGGGCGATTTTGTGTCGTCCTACACCTTATAGGTCGGTGTATGTTACCACGTTATTTACGTGATGATGCATATCGTTCTTCCAGTGTAGGACACTCAAAATCGTCTCTCCAATTATCCCGTGACTGATCTTATCTCGCTTTTTATGAGCTTTCTGACTCTATCCTTGTGTTTTGTTGCAGTCGAGTTCCCCGCGGGCAGCCTTCCTCCTCATGCTAATACTGGTTGTAGCCGGGAGGTCTTCTCTTCAGCTTCCATCAGGCAGGCCGTTAGTCCACTCCCTCAGTTTGACAGAGATCGCTCCGACGAATCCTGTCGTTTGATACGGGATGGAGGGCGTCATTGCTTACGTCAGCTGATTACGGACGCCTCCTTCACTGCAGATTCTACTTCCACTCAGGCTTTAAAGAAGCCCGGTTTCCTGTTCGGGGATCACACGGACTGGTTCTACTGGGTATCATGATATCCGCAGTCTTTGACCAGAGATTATGGGTCTTGACACTGCACCCCCGGGCGAGGTATCAGCAGCTGCTCCTACTGTGAAGAATCGTCTGGCTCATCTTGGGAGAAGGTTACCTCCACCAGATTACAGATGCTATGGTTGGGCTTTCTCACAAGCCAAGGGATGGTGGACACGCATGACCAGTTACGTCTTGGGGCGCTGGGAGAAGGATTTGAAGAGCAGCGGATTGTATGCACCTATACGGGCCACCATGTACGGACTTCCGGTCAGCTGCCGCCATTTCTTGGCGTTGTTGGAGACATACATGCCCGACAGTAACACGTTCATGACCAGCGGCGGAGAGTTAGGGTTGGCCTTACATGAGATGTATCAGGTTTCTGGTCTTCCAATGAGGGATTGTCCATATCAGGAGTACTTTCCCTCGAACCAGCAGTTGGGGTGGTTGAAGAAGGATACTCCCGACATGCATGATACTCTTTGGGACATCACTTGTTATTATTACACCTCCTTGATCAAGATTTCTCCTCCAGCGAAGAAGAAAAGGCAAATCAGCTTGAAGCAGTTTGCTGTCTATCTGTTCCCTAATTTGGAGGGTGACTCCGGCGAGCCCCTTCGTGAGTTAGATGTCCTGACCCCTACCGCCATTAATGAGTTGATGGAGAAGGCTGAGGCTCATTCTTACACCATTGCCCGTGCTGAGGGAGCTTTTCCTGCAGGAACCAAGTGTCGTTCGTTCCTCCGCCGTGCACAGAAGTCCATCGAGCCCCGGACTCTGCTAGCAGGCTACATTGCCCTCTGGTTGAAGAAGTGTGTTGTTCCGTACCGGTCTTTAGACGCCTTACCTCTCGAGGTGCTCTTCCCCGCAGTTCAGCTAGCTTATGGGAGGGAGCTTTCACTGCTCCCAGCGATGGTTGCCGGCATCCATTGCGGGCTTAGGTATCTGGTCAGTGGTTTTACACGGGTGGGTTCTAAACCATCGACCGAGCTTATATGCGTATCTGATGGCGTGGCTCGTTCTTCACCGTCCTGACTTGATGTCGGCGCCCAGCGTTGTTGATATCCCCGTTCCTTTCGTAAAGCTGTTGGAGAGGAGCAGATGGCTCGGGAAGAAATTCGGCGATGCACAACGAGAGTTTTAAGTTCGCAAGAGCTGGGAGTTCTTTAAGTGTTTTCCCCACTTTTCGGGTCGCTATGGTGATGTGCTGACTGATGAGGAGAAACCCAGAACTAATCGGACTGCTCTCGACGTTGGTTGTTTCCGCTGGTTAGTGAACATCCGTGTTGGGTATCTCGTTCTCCGGGTGAAGAATAATTGCCACATAGAGCCTTACCTTCCCTGCCGTTTTGCTCGTCAGTTCGGTTACGACCAACTATATGTTGGGAATCCGAGCCGTGGTTTGAAGGTTGAGGGGGGGCTTATTGATGGCGTACGGGCATGGCTATGGACTATGGTGGGCTGCACGGCAGCGAGCTTCGATCACATGAGCATTCTGTTGCGCAGCTGATGGCTACCGTGGCGAGGAAGGATACAGGTAGAGCCGAGTTACTCAGCTCTTTGGATTCCGGCCGTGAGGAAGTGGCTAGATTGAAGGAGGCCTTGAGGCACGCCGAGGAGTCCGTTACTCTTATTGCAGAAGACCTGGCTGGATTAGAGCGTTCTCGTGAACAGACGCTCGAGAAGCTGGGATCTACACAGGAGAGAATGATGAAGCTGAAGAATGAAGCTGCGAAGATCTTAAGCAGTTCCGAAGACTCTGTCCGAGCTAGTCTGCAGGCAGAACTTGAGCAGAGCTATGTAGACAGGCTTTCTAGTTTAGAGTCCTATGTTCTTAGCCGTCAGTTGCCTTCGGGCTAATGAGCTTTTTATTATATGTTTTTGACTTGATCTATTACTAGAGACTCCACATTTGCTTCTTTCATGATATTTCTTTATTTACTTTGAACCCAGCAATGATAAAATTTATAGGATTTTTGGCAAACCCCCAGCCCTCAACGGGTTTGATATGCCTTTACTGATTACCGTTTGAATCGGGCTAGCATGCGGATTGTCTAGATCCGTTCCATATGTAACGTTGTGCTAAGAGAATTGCTTTTCTTAGACTTAATGCTATGACTTTGAATACATAGACTTCACCATTTCTTATAGGGAAAAGGTACCCCGCACCGCGTATTAGGCGATGACCTATCCCTTCTTAGGCTTCGGGATAAAATTCCCCAGGCTTAGACCATGATGTCTTTTTCAATCAGCGAAAGACTAAACCGGCAATGTGTGTTAGACATAGACTTTGGGATTTTTGGCAAACCCCCAGCCTTCAACGGGTTTGATGTGCCTTTACCGAAATGATGAAACTAAGAGTGGGATCTCCACTCCGAGAATCGGAAAGATTCGAACGACCCTAACTTTTATAGGATTGGTCATTTGAATCAAAAGAATCCCTCATTCATTGAGGAGGAAGCCCAATTTCGACCCTAACTTTTATAGGTTTGGTGGAAAAAGGAACAAAGGCAAATTTTCGTTTATCGAAAAGGAATGACTCGGTCTTAGCCCTGGCTATGGTAGGTTTGACTAAGTGAGATTGGGGACAATTCTAACTTTTATAGATTTAATTGTCCGAACTGAAAGTGGACCTCTCGTTCATAGAAGGAATCGAGAGAGGAATTTGGCTTTGGCCCTAACTTTTATAGGTTTGACCTGAAAGCAAAGAAAGTGGAATACAGGTAGCAAAGAAAGTGCCAACTCGTATTATCACTCAAAGGAAGACTTCAATGTTAAGTGATTAGGACCTAACATGTTGAGTCGGAGAATTACCAATGACTGGCAGATAGGAATTTTGGTGGATCCACCGTTGATTAATTTGATTAGCGGATAGTTTGGTGAGGGAAGATTAATCCATCAAAAGGTTAGATCTCATCTCACAAAAATAACTCATGAGAGTTAGAGTTTGACAAGAAGAAACATTTCGGCGTTCGGAGTTCGAACGTGGATTTCTTATTCATCTTCTACAGTGACTGGATTATCCCTAAGAATACCGCATGTGGTATTCTTCCGGGAACTTCCCGATACATCAATTTTCCTGAAGATATTAAGGATAGTATCTTTTCAGGAATTTGCCATTTATTGGCATCATAAGCCGGTCACCATCCTTGGTAACTAAGCGATATGCGCCGTTCGAGTAAACTGTCTCTACTACGAATGGCCCTTCCCATTTGGGTTCGAATTTGCCCTTCTTCTTGGAGTTAAGGATCATAGGCCGTCTTTCAGTTAAGACCAAATCCCCTTCCTTAAAACTCCTTTGTCGAACCTTTTTGTCGAAGGCTCGAGAAATTCTAGCTTGGTAAAACTCAATATGCTGTTGAGCTTCCAGGCGCTTTTCATCGAGCCTCTCGAGTTCTTCGAGGCGTTTCTGATGTTGTTCTTCGGTCGTCATCTGGGTTGCAAGAGCGATCCGAAGAGACGGAATTTGGATTTCCAAAGGGAGAACGGCTTCACATCCGTATACCAATGAATATGGGGTTGCGCTGGTCGGTGTACGCACCATGGTACGATAGGCCCATAGAGCCGCGCCGAGCTTGTCATCCCAATCCCGCTTGTTATTCTTCACGATTTTTGACAAGAGCTTTATGATAGTCTTGTTGAAGGCTTCAGCTAATCCATTTGCTGTGGGATTATATGCCGTTGATGAGATATCCTGAATTTTAAACTTTTCGCAGAACCTTATGAAGGCGTTGCTGACAAATTGAGGACCGTTGTCATGTATGATTCGTCTTGGAACACCATACCTGTAGATGATATGGTGCTTGATGAATGCAATGACGTTACTCGTTTTAACTTCTCTGAGTGGAACTGCTTCAGCCCATTTGGAGAAGTAATCGGTAATTGCCAGGATGAACCGGTCACCTTTGACTGATGGGGGATTTATAGGGCCAACAATGTCCATTCCCCAAGTCTCGAACGGCCATGACGTAACCGAAGGATGCAGATGCTCCAGAGGTTGATGCATATAATTCCCATGTATTTGACATGCATTACACTTTCGGGCATACGCAATTGCATTACTCATCATGGAAGGCCAAAAATACCCCATTCTCCTGATGCGGTCATAAAGCTTAGGACCAGGTTGATGTGCGCCACACTCTCCTTCGTGCGCTTCCCTAAGGACCTCTTCAGCTTCTTTGGTTGATAAGCAACGTGCTAGCAACCCATCGTACCCCCTGCGGTATAGCGTTCGACTCTCCGTACTATAGTAGAATCTTGGTGCTCTTCGTCTGATTGACTCTCTTTCCTTCACATCTTCTGGCAAGATTCCATGCAAGACGTAGTCGATGATGGGGAAACGCCAATCTCGTGGTTCGAACTCGACTCGAGTAGCGTGCGCCTCTTGAACCTCTTCTTCCTTGGCATCTTCATTGTAAAACGGTATTAGAAGTTGGTGAGTTCTTATCGTAACAAACTGCTCTGCTTCGGGAGGTTGTGCCAGAGATACGGCCAATGCTGCTAACACATCTGTATAGGTATTCTGTAGTCGTGGAATATGTTCGATAAAGAATCCTTCGAATGATTCTGCCATCTCCACTGACATCTTATGGTATGGTATTAAATCTTGGCTTCGGACCTCGTACTCTCCCTGAACTTGTTTAACTATCAGTTGAGAATCGCCGAAGGCTTCGAGATACTCAACCCCCAGCTCCTTAGCGAAATTGAGTCCTATAATCAATGCGTTATACTCTGCTACATTATTCGAGCATGGCTCGGTTAACGAGTAGGCTCGAGGCATCACATGTTTTCCTGGGGAAACTAAAACTACTCCAACTCCGGAGGAGACCTTAGAACATCCAGGAGCACTTGCTACATTAGTTGCTCGTGAAGCGCCATCGAAGTACAAACGCCATACTTGCTGGTGCGAAGTTACGTTTACTTCGTGGGTTTCATCGGGTAGATCGTCATATATCTCAGCGGTATCCGTAGTTGGATTAGCTGCCAGG